ATTAATCCTATATACAGATAGATTTAGTGTATTGGGGCAGCAGATCATTATTTAAACGTATATTGTTAAATATAACAGACAGAGAATGTTTATTATGTTTGATCAGTAGCCGTTCTAAGCTTCGTATGGTTGCTTTAATTTCGGGTGAAAATAAAGACAAAAATTGTCCAAAATTTGGATATTTTTTTATTAAGCTGGTCCTTGATCTAAGCTTTCGGTTCACATGACTGGCTATACGGACATTTAAACAAATATATTCCCTATCAAAGATGATATTCTGTTATGTTGACACAGAAGATTGCTGTGACGATAACGGTCGCGGAATAGCGGACGCAGGTCGTAAATTTATGATGCGGTTCTATGACGTCGTACCACGTGAGAGAATGAAATATTAACAACATAACCATGTCTAGATGCAATGTAATTTGTTGTGACTATTTTGAAATGTAATTTTGTTAAATTTAAATGCAATGTCAATCGCTATCTACTATCCTCCTCATTGCTCTTTTCTCTTTCTCCTCATTACTAATGTTTCTGTTCCTAATTCCTCCACACCCCGTAACCCCTTGCATGTTAGTATCTGTCCTACGTTGCTTGGGGTGAGAACTGGGAAGATTTGACACTCACAGGGCATATTGAAGGTAAAACGGACAGCAGGCTACCTACTTGACGAGCTTAGGTGAACAGATGGCAGAACGTGGAGTGGAGGATGGCTATAAGGTGCAAAAGATAGGAAGTTGTGGAGAGCCACGATCGCATTCACACTTGAATAAATACCACGGGTAAAGGTGTGAGTCTATCTCTTCTCCCTCACAGTTATGGGAAAACAGTAGGGCAGACTGGGATCTCTAACCGTGGTTGGTAGCCAGTCTAGGATAGGAAAAGGCTATCTCTGAATTCAAAATCGGATGTAGCCCTGGAGACTAAAAGGATGATGGAGTTCTGAATTAACTCCGCTGTACTGTACCGTATTATAAGGTACTGTATTCTACTTTACTGTACTCTACTGTACTGTACTCTAATGTGATGTAGTGTGCACTAATGTGCTATACTCTACTGTACTGTATTCTAATGTACTATACTGTGCACTAATGTACTATACTCTACTCTACTGTACTCTAATGTACTGTACTGTGCACTAATATGCTATACTCTACTGTACTGTACTCTAATGTAATGTAGTGTGAACTAATGTGCTATACTCTACTGTACTGTATTCTAATGTACTGTACTGTACACTAATGTACTATACTCTACCGTACTGTGCACTAATGTACTATACTCTACTGTACTGTATTCTAATGTACTGTACTATGCACTAATGTACTATACTGTACTCTACTCTAATGTACTGTACTATGCACTAATGTGCTATACTCTACTGTACTGTATTCTAATGTACTGTACTCTGCACTAATGTACTATACTCTACTGTACTGTGCACTAATGTACTGTACTCTAATCTACTGTGCTGTACTGTGTACTAATGTCAACTCCTGCTCGGGCGGTCCGTCCGAATTTTCAATACCCGCGGCTGATCGATGAGTTGATTGCTTCGATCCAGACCTTGCTTTATCCCACGTTGTGTTTAGTTTTGATCATAAGGCTGGCAAAGATCAAATCGTCGTCGGGATTCGTCGTATTGGGTTTTGGTCGAGGCAGAATGAAGACGCACGTGACAAAAAACAATTTGAATAAAAATAAAGGCTTTTATACACGTTCTTTTGTACAGTGCTTAGTAAGTCTTAACGTTAAAATTTATCAATTCTTCATGCAGAAAATTAACTACCCAACCCGCATCGTAAGTTGAAGGTGACACTTCGGCTGGTTTGTTTAAGTCTGGCACGAGGCTTATGTCGGAGATTCTCTTTAGGCCAGCAGTCACATGATATCAAGCAACGCGATCGTCTCTCGTCTCAGTGTTTGTAACAACTGTCTCGGGCGCTTCGGCTTCTTGCATTTGTTGACATTCACATAAAACCGGCGTGGGGCATGACACGATTAGAGGACTCGGTATTTCCCCTATCTTTCAACAAGAGCCCGTTTGTTGTCTGGCTCTTTTCTTATGGGTAGCTGTCACAGGCATCGATCCGCCCCGATAACTTTCCCCTTCTCTTATTGGCATCTCACACCAACACCTCCCGATGAGCGTGGGCAATCCTCCACCTCCCTCGGTGTTTCATCTGTGCCTGTCATCTCAGCCAGCCTAGCTCCTGACCGTCTGGCGTGTCTTATCTTATGGTCATTAATTAAAAAATTATCATTTCAAATTTGGCTTACGGAAATTTTTCTCAACCTGTTCTTGTCAAAAATCAGATATTTACCAGATGTTTTCGTCTCAGGCAGCTATCCTCTCAAGCCCCGTCAAGGTCGCTGCACTCCGAATACCCAGATTACACAAAGAGACCTTCTTTTGTGTTTTTACAACCCTAACGGCCTCATTAAACAATTGTCAACCTTAAAGATCGCCACATGGCTCCTTTGTGACAATATCACTGTTCTTTAGTAACTCTCTGGTTTCGGAAAATTAGCTTTTCAGTAGAAGGGAAAGGGAAATCTTCGCTCTTTCTCTCGGTCTGTCCATCGTTCTATTCATTAACACTTCTTGTCTCGTTCCGGGCTATGTTTTGGGCTTTAACAGCTTTCTTTCCATTTTCCAGTACCAAATAGTGTCACACTAATGTACTGTACTCTAGTGCCCTGTACTCTACTGTGCATTTATGTACTGTACTCTGATATACTGTACTTTAATGTACTCTAATGCACGGCCCCGTGCTTTAATGTACTGTACTATATTATTCTGTACTTTAATGTACTCTAATTTACGACCCTGCACTCTAATGTATTCTACTCTATTGTAATGCACTTTAATATACTCTAATTTACGGCCTTGTACTCTATTGTAATGTACTTTAATGTACTCTAATTTAAGGCCTTGTACTCTAATGTACTGTACTCTAATGTACTCTAATGTACGGCCCTGTACTCTGATGTACTGTACCCTAATGTACTCTAATGTACGGCCCTGTACTCTAATGTGCTATACTCTATTGTACCGTACTCTAATGTACTTTAATATACGGCCCTATACTCTAATGCACTGTACTCTAGTATACCTTAATATACTGTACTCTGTTGTACTCTAATATACTGTACTCTACTGTAGTGTACTCTAATCGTGGCCTAATTCTTCCTACCACCAGTATTCGTAACTCGCTATCTGGTTGTTCACATGATTAAGTCGCTTCCCATTGTGTTAATTTCAGGACCGTGGACTGTGTTTGCGCCAACCGATCTGGCTTTTACTGAGTTTCCTCATGTGTACCTGGAAAATCTGAAGAACAATTTGACCCTTTTAGAAAATTTCCTCAAGTACCACGTTGTGAAAGGCCTCCACATGAAGAAGGACCTTGACGCAAACGACATGGAACTCCAGACAGTAGGTGGAGGGAAAATCCGTGTCAACTTGTACCGTTCGACAAGGGTGAGGATCTAACAGCTTTTTTAAATCGCCACATTTTCTGCGTGACTGTTCGGGTCGTGTAATGGTAATAGCGAGGAACGAGAAACCGGCTCGCTGACTTCATTATATTCACTCTTGCGCAAATGCTTTCAGAAAAGCTAAAACCCCATGACTTCTCTACTCCCACCAGCTATGGATTAAACGGTGGAACAGGATGTGTTCTTCAATCTTGGTTGACAACCAGTCTAGGAGAAAGAAAACTCTGAATTAGATTGAACTATTTAGCGTGGGAACATGTGGTCGTCTAAGGGTGGGAAAACACTGACAGAAAACCAACCCTCCCCCAGAGTACAGAGGTTAGGCATGGGGTCATTTATTCCACCCGTGGAATAATTCGATTGCATAAATTTATAATTTATCACAAATTTTTAATTCGATTACAAAAATTGACAATCTAGGACATTCGTACCTGAAAAAAAAACTGAATGTATTTCCCTGAACACCGCTATTATTTTAACTACCTTCACTCCTCGCAATGTTTATTGATTTAGAAAGTGATGATCAGAATTGTAACAATTTAGAAAAATCGCCAAGCAGAAAACAGCACGGTAAATGATAGATAAGAACAAACTTAGATAGATAGATAGATAGATAGATAGATAGATAGATAGATAGATAGATAGAAATAAACTGACTGAGATAGATAGATATGAACAGTGAGATAGATAGATAGATAGATAGATAGATAGATAGATAGATAGATAGATGAACAGACATATACAGTTTGTGGGGAGGGGAGGATTTACAACCTATCAAAATGTACAAACTATTTGCTATCGTTCAAATACGAAAGATATGAAAATGACACCATCATGTCAAAATATATATGGGAACTAAAAATGAACGAAAAGCAGCATGAATAGATTTGGCATAAAGTGAAAACTAAAAATAGAAACAAGAGCAGGAAATATGGATTTATGCATGGAGGCTAAACTGCAAATAACAGAATTTAAGAACATAGTGTGATAAACAAACGAAATTATTTCATACTGTCGACATTCTGACGCATTCCCATAAATTGTGAAGAGAGCAATAGATCTCGAGAACGCTATTAAAAAACGGTGACCCATTTTGAAAAATCGCTAAATGGAAAGTCCCAAGAGCCATTCAAGGTAGAGGATTACTGAATGAGGTTGTTTTATGAACGTAAGAGTAAGAGGTAAGAAGTTCAGATTATGAGGATGTTTACAGTTAACCCTAGACTTGAAAAGGTTAGGATTGTAGTGACGAGATGAGGACAATCTCTCTGGGGCTTGTTCCACAAAGCAGCGGCTCTTAGAAAAAGCTGTCAATAAGGAACTTCCTTCTTACCAATGGAATACGAGGGGAAGGAGGATGATTCGACCCACAAACCGAAATCACGTCAAATTCTCATAATTGACCTTTGTCCTTGATGTTTGCTCTTCTCTATTTTCAGACTATTACTGTCGAGGGTTGCAAGATCGTCAATTTCGATATTGTGGCTAGTAATGGCGTCATGCACGTGGTGGATGAAGTTCTCATTGCTCCAAAGGGAAATCTTTTCATGACGCTGAAGAGGAATCCAAATTTTACGATTTTCTCTGATTTCTTGGCCCAAACCGGTCTTGACAAGGAACTGGAAAGTAAGTTTTAATTATTTTTTCTTTTCCTTTCTTTTTCGTGTACGTTATAGACCTCAGTCAGTTAAGTAAGTGAATGACTCATGGAGGTGTTGTTATGTCGCTAAAAGTCTACCAATGAACCAACGGACATCTTTAATAGACGTCAGTCATTTATGTGCCATGCATGATACACGCTTAGGCGATCATGTATCTTTCGATACATGACTGACAAGGTAGATTTCTTCCCGCAGTAGGTTGCCATTTCGTTCTGCGGTAGCCCAGTTGCCATCAAAGGCTGTAGAATGCGATCTGTCCTGCTATTTACCTATAGCTGGAGGGAGAAAAAGAGGATTCATACCTTTTCCATGCCGCTATACATTACACCACCATGCCTCCTTTAAATCAGTTATGTGCCATTTTTTTCTTTCGATTCAGAGTTTTTCTGCAGTAGACAGGTTACTATCCAAGAACCCGATCCGTCTTGCTATTTACAGAAGAAGAGAATTCATACTTCTCCCAAGGGTATTAGCACGTAAGTGAATGTAATGGATTCGACTGGAATTTGAACTCGGCTCTCTTCTGAGTCTTGTGTCAAGGTGCATTGTCCTGCATGAAAATAGGAGATTCATAAAGATTATGGTGTAATCTTGGTACCACATGCTGCTGAAGAAGCCTTTTGCAAATCTCAGCATTGATATTGCCATGTACGCGGATGATAGGGCCAACTCCTGCAGATGAAATCTTTCACCACACCATCACACTTCCGCCACCAAACTTAACGGTTTTCTTGACACATTGAGAAGACAGTCTTTCACCTGTTCTATGGCGTACGTAAGTTTTGCCCTCAGAACCAAATATAGTAATCTTGGACTCGTCACTGAAATGAACTGTATCCCATTGTGCGACAGTCCAAAAAAACATGTTCTCTCGCATACTCCAGGCGTGCCCTTTGGTTTCACTTTGAAATGAGAGGCTTCGAAGCTGGAATACGAGCATGCAATCCTGAATTTTCTAACCTGCGAGCAGCCGTTTTCCTTGAGATCTTATTATCTGTCTCTTCATTAAATTTATGGGCAATTGGTGCAGAAGTTTCAAAACGGTTTTTTTTTGTAAATATTCTAACAATTCTTCAATCTTCTCTTTGCGATGTTTTTGGAGGTCTGCCGGTTTTTGGTTTTGCATCTAACGTTTTATCGGTTTTATACCTGCTAATTACAGGATGAACGACACTTTTAGACCTATGAACAATATCAGAAATTTCTGAAATTGACTTTTTTTCTTGATAGTTAGCGATAATGAGTTTTTTTTTCTTCAAAAGAGAGCGTTTTGCGTGTAGAATTTGCCATATTGCTTGAAATAAAGTCCTAATGATAAATGAACTTTTACTTATTGTTGAAAAGCTCCATCAAGTTTTTTAACAATGTAAATTAAAAATTTATGCAAATTATTAACATCGTTTCTTAACTTTTGTCCAGTAGCTTATTTCCTTTGATCCATTTAAACTTTATTTAAAAAAAAACTATTATGTTAATTTTTGTAACTTTGTATAATATTTATGCATTACACCCTAATCTTTATTCAGTAAAAATTTCATTGCTAATCATGCATTACTTTTTAAGTAATACACATATTTATGTCTTTGTTGTTTCCGTTCCTTATATTATGGCCGCTACTGTATATATATATATATATAGTTGGACTGATGTGATTTTGTGACCCTGGGTTTTACGCGTTTCAAAAGCGTGAAACCCAGGGTTACAAACTTAATCAATCCAACTAAATATGTTAGCTCTATCTCTGATATTGAGCGCTTTCCAATAAGTACTGCGCATATAATATATAAATAATATATATAACATACCAACAGCTTCCCATACTTAATACTTCTCGTTTTCACTCTCGCGTGGTCATGTGTGACGTCATGAACTGCGGTGCGATTTTCGCTTCCAGCGTCTTATATGCACGTGTTTATCGTTGCTTGGAAATCATCCATGTAAACCGAAACAGACTATCATCACATTCTTGTCCGTGTATTGCTTAATATATTGTAATGTAATTGTCATCTTTGATAATGGCTTATGTAAGCCGAAAGCTTAGATTGGATTAAAAAATATGGATCAATATTGTGATTTTCTTTCTTCGTTTAATGATAATGTTATTAAGATTATCAGACGATGTGAAAAGAATTTACATAAAATAAACAGACAACACTTGTCTATATTATTTAATGAAACATGTATGAATGAAAAAATGCTGCCTAAATACACACAATAAATATATATATATATATATATATATATATATATATATATATAATCAATTCATCCCAAACAACGTCACTAAGACACAAGGGGTTACTGAGAGTGAAAGAGAATCAGATAAATTTAGTAGAAACCAGAAAACTAATCCTAAACAAGAAACACTTTTGTTCAAAATACTGGGGAGTAATATTAGCCTCTCGTTAGGCCATCTACTGATTGATCTATCTATCTATCTATCTATCTATCTATCTATCTATCTATCTATCTATCTCTCTCTCTCTCTCTCTCTCTCTATATATATATATATATATATATATATATATATATATATAGAGAGAGAGAGAGGGGCTTAATATGAGTAAAAGTTTGTCACTTAGCTGATTGATGTTACCTTCAGCATCACGACTTTGAAGATGTACAGCATCTGATACCATAACAATCTAATCACGATCTAAACAATATTCATTTTGAAAAAAAAATTTGAATATTACTCGCTTCCTTTTTGCCAGACTTTGAATTATGACATTTTGTGTCCTCCATATGATTTGACTGAGCTTTCAACCGCCTGATAAACATTCATGAACGTTCTCAAATTTACAAGCCTTGATAAACCAATGACACCCTTGCCTTTGTATATAAACACGTGCAACAAAATAAATCCAACATTGCCTTGATAAAGTCCCTCAGAGGACGAAACACCACGGCTAAGAATGATTTTTCCTCTTGTCTTTTTTATTCATGTTGTACTTTACAGATAATTTGCGCACAAACACACACACACACGCACGCACACACAACACGCACGCACACACACACACACACACATATATATATATATATATATATATATATATATATATATATAGGGCCGGTACATACTTTCTGTTATGGGACCTTACCCATAATAACATAATGGACTATTCCATACGCAATAAATACTGCGCCTCTAGAGGAAGCAGGGAGTTCAGCCTGAAGTCGGGCGACCGGCTGATTGGCTGATCGGTTGAACTCTCTGCCTTCGGGCGGGGAGGAACCCGAACGAGGCTACGCCGAAGGGCGGAGTCTCTTTCGGGGAGGTAAACTGACCCTGAACCCGTTTATACGGGTTCAAAGGCCCATATTTTTTGCGAGCCCACGGGCTCGAGATCCCACGTTAAACCGGCCTTGTGCCACATGATGGCCTCGTGGGGGGGTGACTAAATACTGTTCAGTCTGAAGTCTGGAGTGAAGTCCGTCAGAGTCTGTCAGTCAGTCAGAGCGAGCGAGTCAGTTGAGTCAGAGGCAGTCCGAAACAGAGTGGCGTTCAGACAATTACTACTAAACCTGATTGCTCGTACTAACACTTTCTACTTCTCTGTATATATTCCTGTATGTAATATATCTGTGTTATTCCATACCTGTGTTCGAGTTCTTCTTTATTGGTTCTACCTTGGACTATCACCATCGTACAAGGAACCGGATCATAACAGTTTCCCAGACCACGTTTCGACCAGGAGCGCAACCTTCATTGTGGGCCATAGGTACTGTTTTGTGACCCTCGCTATATTATCAACTTTAGCCTTTTTCTACCTACATATATATATACGTTACAAATTACACTAAGCACAATTGACTATTAAAAGATAAACAATTTTCGCGGATTATGACGTCATTCTGGGGTCTTTTTTTTTCCGTTCAAATCCGTGAATTTGTTTTGCTCAAGTCTCGAAATTTATTGAAGATGGACTGATCTATTATGACATGTCTTTAATTTATATTTCGATACATTGTTTAGTGATTGGGTTCTTCAATAATTAAATGGATAAGATTTCTTACGCGAATATTTTATTGCACAGGGAATAATGGTGGAGGTAAAGATTAAATGCACAAAAATAACTGACCAATGGATTTGCAATGCAAAAATAACATTTATTAAAACAAAATTAACGAAAGTAATTTACATTATTTACATTATTCGGACTGTTATCCTCATTTACATTGCCATATTCACAATGTTTCGGCCGTTGTACGTTCCGGCCTTCATGTGATTGGGATTTTCGAACCTTTTAATTCGTCCACTGGGTAGATTGTTCTAGTTCCATGTGCCATGCCTCTTCCGGATGTCTTAATTATTTCCCTTTAATTCAACTCTTTTTTTTTTTGTGGGGGAGGGTATCTAAACACTGGATTTAACCAGCGTCTTTGACCATTCAAGGACACATGGCCCAGTGGATAAAGACGTTGGTTAGATCCAGTGACTAGACCCAAAAAGTTGTGAGTTCAATACCAGGCTACAGCAGTGGTGAACCAAAAAACATGGAGAGTTGAGCTAAAGGGAAATAACTGAGACAGCCGGAAGAACAATCTACCCCGGTGGACAAATTAAAGGTTTCAGTTCGAAATTCTAAACACCTGAAGAAGGCCGGAGTGTACAACGGCCGAACCGTTGTGAATATGGCAATGAAGTTGAGGATGAGAGTCCGAATAATCTAAATAATGTAAATAATCATAATACCTCATTTCAGAGATATAGACAGATACTGAAGGGCCCGATATACCAAAAATAACAAAAGTTTAAAACAAGATTTTCGTTTGTTATAAATAAATTGTATACACAACGAAATGTTCTTGAATATGTTATAGTGTGACTTACTGTGGGCGTGTTTTAGTGTGAAGCCTTTCACAGCTCTTTTAGCTTCAGCGTGGAAAGTTTATGTCAGCCGCAAATGACATCACGAAGTCCGAACCAATAACTGCTACAACACAAAGAAGATATTTAGCTGTTTCAATTTTATTATATACTAAACTAAAATATATATACTATATATTACTATATAAAATATATTGTAGAACAAGTATATTGACCTTGACTTGTATAAAAATACGTATGCTGTTGACACACTGAATGATTTTAAAACCCTAAGCCGGCATATAGGAAAAGTTTGCCGATCCGTAATATAAATTACCTTCAGGAGAAAATGAGACTTTGCCACCAACCCACACCCCACAAACTTAGAATGCTCTTAAAGTGTCAAATTGGTTTAATGTCGGAATAAAAAAATAGCGAGTGAACTGTCCGAGTTGCGATATAAATTAAAAATACGATTTAAAATAAATAGATATAACCCGTGTCTACTTTATTGATGCGAGAGTAAATCTTTCGCTCTCGATAACCCCTTACGTCTTGCTTGGGAGGTGAAATGATTCGAAAAGATTAATTTGAATTTAATGCTAGAAATCGATTTATAAATTACTAGCAGTAGAGCCCGGCGTTGCCCGGGGATGTAACAGTAAGAGATAGATCAAGTATCGACCATCATAAAGACTGAAAAATAAAATTGACAAAGATTATTGTTTAAGGTTGACGGACACGCATGTCTTAATTAGTTTTTTTTTTTTTTTTTTTACGAATTGGTCAAACTCAAACAAAAACATTTTTTTTGTTTTCAATCGTTATGAGTCTACCGATTGAATAGAATTTTATTATAAACAATTGTCTTGTAAATGGAATTTTTAAAGCATTCTGAATGTAAAAATAAAGAAAAAAGTGTGCAAGACAATAAGAAACACTACCTGCCAAAAAAAGTGAAGTTTTGTTGAAATCGGTTGAAAAATGTAGGAAATCCGATCACATATATAAAGGAACACAGACACACACAAACAACCTGGGTTTTATAAGTATAACTCGATATGAGTTGCCCCCCTTCATTCTGGCAACAGCGATACCTCTTAATCGTGTTTTCAAATTGATTTCGTGCAAAAACAATTGTGTTTTTCCGATCACATATATAAAGGAACACACACACACACACAAACAACCTGGGTTTTATAAGTATAACTCGATATGAGTTGCCCCCCCCCTTTCCTTCTGGCAACAGTGATGCATCTTAATCGTGTTTTCAAATTGATTTCGTGCAAAAACAATTGCGTTTTTCCAATTTTGGCCGCTGTCAGAACCACCGCAAGGTAATTTTACGTAGTCCTGTGAAGTTTTGTTGAAATCGGTTGAAAAATGTAGGAAATCTGATCCAATATATAAACGAACAGACACACACACACACACACACACAACCTGGGTTTTATAATAAGTAAGATTTTCTCATTTACAGACGGACCTTACACCGTTTTTGCCCCCGGTGACGATGCTTTCAGGAAGCTGGGTAACGAAACTTTGCAACGTTTACATAACGATCAAGATATTTTAGAAGGTGAGTATCAACATAATATTAAACTTCTTCTTCTTCTTCTTCTTCTTCTTCTATATGCCGCGTCATTTTAGGACATGGGCAATCATGGCTCTCTACAACTTCCTATCTTGTGTAAGCTCTTAGCAGTTTTTATCCCTTTGCTAACACTCCTGCATTCCGTCATCTATTCAAACAATATCGTCAGGTAAGTTGCTCACTGCCTTCCTCTTTCTCTCTGGACCTCAATATGCCCCGTGAGTGTTCAGTTTTCCGAACCTTCCTTCCTCATTATGTGTCCAAGGGATTTCACTTATCGTTTGGTGATTCTGTCATTCATTCAAACGAGCTCATCAGCTAAGTTGCTCACTGCTTTCCTCTATCTCTCTTGCCTTCAATATGGCTCGTGTGAGTTAAGTTTTCCGAGCCTTCCTTCCTCGTGTGTAATTTCAGCTGTCTCTTTCTGATTCTGAGTATGTGTGTATTTTCTTGCCGTTTTCTTTATCGCTCTGTGCATGGAATTCTCAGTATCCTTCTGTAGAATCATATTTCTGTTGCCTACAGTTTTTTCGTTATCCATGTAGTGATTGGCAAGCATTCACTGCTTTCTTTTATGATCCTGTCTTGGAGGTTCTGTAGTTTCCTTTCCGTTTCAACCATCAACAACGATGTCATTAACGTAACTCATTTATTTGGTCAGATGAGTGACTATTTGAGAATACCAAGTGCTATAAGCCTGGATGTGCGGATGGTGTAATAGATAAGGGCTCGAAATTGTTAATCAGAAAGCCGAGTTCCAATTTCGGTTGGGATTATTGTATTCACTTACGGTGGTGGGAAGGTGACCGAAGCCGAGATGTCAGCTCAGAACCAATAACATTGCAGATTCTATTCTTCTTTGTATTTTATCAAATATCTGTAAATGCAGACGTGCGAAATAATGGGTTTCTCCAATTCGTAACTCACATCCTGAGCTGTATCTCTTGCTGATGATCTATATATTCGTTCACTGTTCTTCTATGTACTGTGATCCTTCAGGACGTGGGCGATTATGGCTCTCCACAATTTCCTGTCCTTTAAGCTCTTAATAAATTTCTCTTTTTGCTATCTCTCCTAAACTGTGTTCTACAATCCATGTACACAAGCTCATTCTTCTTCTTCTATGTGCCGTGTCCCTTCAGGACGTGGGTGATTCCTTGTTCTGCCTCTTCTTGGTTTTCAGTATGTAGCCTTTTTGTTTCTATTTTCTCTAAAACTTCGACGTTGCTTATATGTTCAGTTCATGGTATTCTCAGCATCCTTCTGTAGAGCTACATTTCTGTTGGTTCAAATCTCTTCTTCATGCTGAGATTATCCAGCATTCACCGTCATATAGGAGGACCGATATTACATAACAGTTTCGTCCTCTTTGCTTTGTTTATAACGAGATTTTCCTGTTTCTTAATACTTTGCTTGGTATTTGAAAGGCATCTTTCGCTATTTCAGTTTGTCTTCGGATTTCAGTGTCGCATTTGTATTGCGCGCTTTGATTACTTCTTTTTCTATGTGCTTCGTTCCTTCATGACATGATGGATCATGGCTCTCCCCTTTACTATTTATTTATTTTATTCTATAATAGGATTAGATAGATTCACTTATCGTCCGGTTCACACTCCTCCGTGTTTTTTGGAGCTGGAGTAGAGTTTTATCTTTTGTTTCGTGTTTAAGATTGTGTTTCCAGTTCCATCTAAAGTATACTTCAACTCTATACTTCTAACATCTCCGTTTAAACCCTGAAATTTTATTTGCTCTTTTTTTAAAATTCTTTCTATTTTCCTTCAATAGGAGTAGATGGGTTTGACTATTGTCCGCTTCATACTCCTTCATAGTCTTTTAAATAGGAGTAGAAACTTATCCTTTGTTTTCTGTTTACAATTGGGTTACCGGTTGCTTCTAAAATATTCTTATTCTCCTTCACTCGCAGTAACCCCTTGCATCTTAGTGGCATTATTGCCTTGCTTGGGGTGAGTTGATTAAAAAAGTATTGAATGAAGACCTACACTGCATACCACAGGACATTGTTTTTGAAGCCTCAGTGACATTACCTGGTTAATACTTTGAGGTAGACAAAATATCTACCTCGTCTACAGACTTAGTCAAGAATTTAAAAGACAGGATAAACAGATTATCGTTTACACCCACTATATATGAGACTCAGCAATCTATTATAACACCACTATTCTATGGCTATTGTTGTCACACACTTTTACTTATATAACGTACTTCCTATAAGGATTCTCTATACGTAATGTACATCGAAAACATAGCATTTTTAATGGTTCTTCCAATATTCAGTAAGTTACGTGCCATGCGTAATACACGCTTAGGCGATCATGTATCTTTCAATACATGACTGACGAGGCAGATTTTTTCCTGCAGTACGTTGCCATTTCTTTCTTCGGTAGACCAGTTGCTATATATCCAAGGCATATAACCCGGTCTGTCCTGCTATTTACCCATAGCTGGGGGGTGGAGAAGAAGAGGATTCATATCTTTCCCAAGGGTATTAGCACGTAAGTGAATGTAATGGATTCGACTGGAATTAGAACTCGGCTCTCCGATTCCTCAGTCCTAGTGGCTATCCATTGAGTCAGTTAGATGCCATGCGTGATACACGCTTAGGTGATCATGTATCTTTCGATGCATGACTGACGAGGCAGATTTTTTCCCTCGGTAGGTTGCCATTTCTTTCTGCGGTAGACCAGTTGCAATATATCCAAGGCTATAGAACCTGGTCTGTCCTGCTATTTACCCATAGCTTTGAGAAGAGGATTCATATCTTTCCCAAGGGTATGCTAATATTATAGGTCTTTAATCACTGAACGATTTTTCAGCTGATTATAGTGTCTTTTATGTTCGAATTTTCCTCTTTCGCCATATAAATCAATTTCCCGATTCTTGCTGATATTATGCCGTCTTCCCATGATTGCCATCTTTATTTGTTCTAAAGAACACTTTATCCCCCCACCCACCAAATCTTGAAACTTTTGGTGTCGCTTTTGTCAACCGTTCGTGTTTTTCGACTTGGTAACAACTTGTCAAACACTAATTTTATTCTTCTGGAAAACAGTAATTCTACCCTCGACATGATTTGTTTTTGTTTTACGGCAAATCGACCACAATTTTCATCTATCGTTTCCTAGTTCTGACATCCATTCAAATGAGCTCATCAGTTAAGTGGCTAACTGCCTTCCCTGACTCTATTGCCATCAATATGTCCTGTGAGGGTCAAGTTTTCCGAGCCTTCCTTCCTCATTATCTGTACAAGGGATTTCAGCTATAGTCTTCTGCTTTTGCCATCCATTCAAACAAGCTCATCAGGTATGTGGCTCACTGCCTTCCCCTATCTCTCTTGCCCTCAATATTCCTCGTGAGGGTTAAGTTTTCCAAGCCTTCCTTCCTCATTATGCGTCTAGGGCATTTTCACTATCGTCTTTTGATTCTGTCATCCATTCAAACAAGCTCATCAAGTAAGTGGCTCACTGCCTTCCCCTATCTCTCTTGCCATCAATATTTTACGGCATATAAGCCTCAATGTGTTATTTAATGCCGATAATTTTGTTGCTGGTAATATTTTTCTTCAAAAATGCATTGCTGGTAATAATTTTTTACAATATATTTCTGGTATTAAAACCTATTTTTACACTTTCATGGTGTTTTGAGCCCAGTTTGGGGATTAACTATTTGCCCATAGTTGGGACCCTAACAGGAGCTACCGCCCGGGTCAGGGTGGGCCTGGGAACACCAGTAATTAAGAGGTGGTTTCATGCTCCTCAAAACCTCCTGATCAGAGGCCTTGCTGCTGGACGTAGTTTATCGTCTTACCCAGGACGCGGATGTAGTTTGTCGTTTTACCCAGGACGCCCCTCGACATGCCTGATGGTCTATTAACTATTACACGGTAAAATTTCGGAAAATTTTGAAGTGCTTCTTCATTTAATTTCTCAAAACATGATTTCTTCAACGTTCTTTGGAACATTCCCACAAGCCGTTCAATTTGTCCGTTAGACCTTGGATGATACGGCGGCGTCGTAACTTGTTCAGTGGGGAACATCTTGCAAAAATCTTGGAATTCTTTATCCGTGAACTTCGTTCCGTTATTGGATAGCATTGTATCTGGTGTGCCATATCTCAAACACTTCATAAAAGAAATTCACTTTCACTGAGGATGTTGGATTTTTGCAGGTATAAATTTCCAGCCATTTTGTGAAACTATCAACTACCACAAGATAATATGATCCATTGATAGGACCTGCAAAATCCATATGCACTTTTGACCACAGTGTGTCTGTCTTTGGCAAAGGTTCTATCTTTGTGATAGTTTTACTGCCAGAGCACAACCTCTACACACTTTCAGTATCATTACAATATCTTGGTTCATTCCAGTTGAATATATGAAACTTCCTATCATAGATTTCATTCTAGAAATACCAGGGAGTCAGGCCATGAAAATCCTTTAGTATTTGTTTCTGTAATACACTCAGTATTACAACTCTTTGACCATACATTACTACACCATCACATATGCTTTTAAGTCTGTGTTTCATTCTTTGTTACTTTCCTTCAATTGTTTTTTTATTTTCACAATAAAGATGTCACTTTCTGCATTTTCTTTTATTTCATCCAGTGTCACTGGTAACTCTCGTACTACATTGCACAAAATGTTTTTTTTTTTATTTCCATGTCACGTTTTAGTTTTGTGATGACTGTGTCCTCCAATGGTTCTGAATTTTTAGGTATTAATCTAGATAATCCATCCATATATCCTAATATTTATAACGGTTGGTACTCCATTGTAAAATTGTAGTTTAACAGGATGGTACCCTAGCATTTTAGCCTATTAACTGTATGAGTAGGTATGGTTTTCTTTCAACCATATATTATTAATAAAGGTCTGTGATCTGTTTACAACATGAAATTTCTTCCATAAATAAATTTATGAAATTTTTTCACAGTGAATATAATTACTAGAGCTATTTTTCTATATGGCTGTAATTTTTATCTGCTGGTAGAAGCGATCGGGAAGAATGAGCGAAGGCGTTCGTTTTACCGCCATTGTATTTGTGTAAAATCACCGCTTCAATAAAGTACTCACTAGCATCTGACGCCACTACAATTTCTGCTTTTGGGTCATAGTGTGCTAATGATAAATCAGACTTAAGTCTTCTTTTTATTTTGTCAAACGACTTTTGACATTTATCATTCGAATTCCACTTTAATCCTTTTTTAAGTTAAGTGGAGCCCTTACCTTATGCATATTATGTACATAAATTTGATCGTAATTAGCCAGTCCTAAAACAGCTTGTAACGTAGTCATATTTGATGGTGTAGTCATATTTCTAAGTGCAGTTAACCTTGATGAATCTAATTGCCTACCATTTTTATCAATAATTTGACAATGGTATTTAATTTTCTGCAAAAACAATTCACATTTTTTTTCACTAAGCTTGAATCCATATTCTCTTAGTTTTCCCAAAATTGTTTTCACATGCTCAACATGTTGTTCTTTCGATACACTCTTGATTAAAATATCGTCTAGATACACCACAGCGAAGTTGCAATTCATAAGCATGGTATCCATGGCATATTAAAAAAATAGCTGATACCACGTTTATACCAAAAGAAATTGATTAAATTTATATAAACCTCTGTGCATATTTATGGTCGCTAATTTAGAACATTTGTAGAGGACCGTGGGGTGAAGATGTAAAGAACACACATGGGTTAAAATTTCCTGATAGCCGGTCCAGCTACAAGAAAATGTTGGCCTTAATTAAGTCTAAAGAAGACAAAGAAAACAAACAAGACCGATAATTATATACACACAAATAAATGTATTAACAAGTTACAAGCACACAGACAGTTATATTGAGTTTGTGTGGTGAATGTTATGTGTGTGTATTGTGGTGAGTGTTCGTACGCACGTGTATTGGTATTGTTCTTAGCGTGTTCCCAGAATTTGGGAAACGCTGTATTGGTGAGATCTCACATATTGGTATTAGGTGAAATGAAGAAAGAGGAGAAAAGAATTACCTCACCTCCACGCGAGGTGGGATACGGCCCAAGGCCTGAGGGGAAAAGAGAGATTGAGACAAAAGGTCACCCAGTATTTATAGCCAGGAGAGAGAGACCCCTGGTGAAGGATTAAGAAACTAAGGAGGAGCTAACTCCGACACATTCAATGTGGATTTGTAAATACGCTTCAGAGAGATCAAGCTTTGAAAATATTCTTCCGCCGTTCTGGACTTGGTAAGGAGTAATTTGTGTTTCTAAACAACTGTTTAATCCAGTTGAAAATTCCGTGCAAACACGAATTTTATTATTTCTTTTCTTTACATTCACCACTAGTGCAGTCCATTTTGAATGGTTAATTTTTTATTATTGACTGTATTGACTTCATTAGTTTTGGACAGCCTAGGGAATGTAGTTGCCGCTTGTACTGCATGCATTCTTTGAAATCTATCTTGTTGGATGGCTACCCTTATTCGTTTCGTTTAAATATATTCTACAAATGTTAGGTTGGACTGAAATTCGGATACAATTTAAACCAACAGCCATTTTCACTTCCTGTTTCTTCTACTGTTTTCTCGCGAAGTGTTTCTTATATTCTTTCTAGCGAAGTGTTTTTAACCAAGTGTTTCTGTCATTGCTTTTCAGCGAAGTGTTTTAGCGAAATGCTTTTTAGCGAAGTGTTTATGCTATTGTTTTTTTACCGAAGTGTTTTCAGCGAAGTTTTTCTGCTATTGTTTTTTAGCGAAGTGTTTTTATCGAAGTGTTTCCGCCATTGCTTTTTAGCGAAGTGTTTTTGATTATTGTCGTATTAAAACACTTCACTGTTCGCTATTCAATTAAGTGAAATTTCTATTACACCAATTCCTTCAAGTCATTCCAAGTCTTCATTAACTTGTTCTAATGCTGAGAATGGTATGGTCCATTTCAGCTTAAATACTGGCGTTGAACTCCTTTTTTTTTTATTTGAAAATCCGCTTTGAATTTTGAACACTGACCCAGCTCATTTGATATAACATCTGGAAAAAATCTTTTGAATTCTTCCTAAAGATTTTTGCTCTGATTTTTCAAATTAGTTGTTTGTTTTTCCATGTTTTTTTTTAGATACACTTTTGATTAAAAGGTCATCCAGATATGTCACTGCAAAATCACAATCTGCAATCATGATATCCATAGCTTGTTGAAAAATAGCAGGTGCCACGTTTATACCAAAAGAAGTCAGTTAAACTTATATAAGCCTCTCTGCATATTTATGGTCATTAATTCAGAACATCCATTTTCAATCTGAATTTGTAAATACGCTTCAGAGAGATTATCTGCGCTAATGACAGGACGTAACCGATGGGAGCACGGGCACAATTGTAACAGGTTATTTCATGCAATTTGTTTTCACACTGGATATCAATAAGAATTATTTTTTGTGAACTTTATTACTAACGATATTGTATTGTTCTTTTCTTTACCAAAATTCACTGACAGAACTTTTAAAATATCACATTGTCCATGGTGTGCTCTGGAGGGCCGGCATGCACAGTACCTATCTTGAAACTTTGGTCCCACATGACAAAATTTTCATCAGAAAATCTTTCTTCGGTAAGTTTATCTCTTGTCAGTACCTTTAATCTTTTATCCCTGCGCCAGACGAAGGTTAAGACTAGTTAAATTATACCTGGGTACCTACCGTAGAGCAATGGCTATCAAGCCAATCTATTTCGTTATTCCGGCCATATCACGTTAAAACATCGGTTCATGTTCGATCACTGAAGTTAAGCAACGTCGAACTTTGTCACCACCTCGATGGTTGACCATGTAGGGACATTATTATTAATAAATAAAAATTATAAAAAAAAATTATTATTATTAATAACATTACTAATAGTAGTAGTAGTAGTAATAATAATAAATAAAACAAAAAAAATAACATTAAACCGTGTTTAAAATAAAATAAATAAAACCCAAATAATAAAATTTCTCCCAGCATGCAACGGAAAACTGAAAAAAAGAATTCTTCACGGCTAAAAACGCCCAGCTCATACTCTTCACTACCGACCCTCAACGAGTCAAGACACCCATTTCCTGTTCTCAGCACCTTGCTTTTTGTAAGACGAAGCGACTTTCCTCATTTATTACATGCAACCTTAAAACGCATATAACTCAAATACACACGCACCAGTACACAAAAAAAACAAATAAAATTATATGATTTTAATTTAAAATTTAACATGCTTTTAGTGCTATTCCCTTGAATGTTTTTATTCCTCTGAACACGAGGCTATCCCTGCTGCTATGATGTAAGTGACCCTACAACAACTTCGGAATATCAGGTGCTGTAAACTTGGATGTGCGTGTAGTGTAATCGATATTACCTCAAAAGAAAAATTCATACAATCTAAAAATATTATCTGGCTTTAAATAACCTACAAAAGAGTGATAAGTCGTAAAAAACGAATCAATCAATCAATCCTGTGTTTAACACTAACAGCGTATGCAAATATCGACGACAATCTATGTCCGCAAATCCGTCATTTTTTAGTTAAGTTAAAGAAAGTTTCCAACAGATGGCGCTGTGTTTCCATAAGGACGAGGTTATATTTGTCATTCATGTAGCTAGTCAATGTTTAACGTGTGTAATAACCTGCAAAAGGTTGACAAGCCGTAAAAAACGAATCAATCATTTCTGTGTTTAACACTAACAGCGTATGCAAATATTGACGACAGGCTTTCCTAAAGTCTGTACCATATTTGGGAGCATCAAAGGCAAGACCATTTCAACGGGACATATTCAACATAGTTTTGGGGTGTATTTAAACACATAATGAGCATTACATTACAAAAGGGCGTCTATTTAAAATACGAAGTATCCACTATAAGCACTTTTGAAGTAATAAAGATGGCGGACATTTTTAATACTTCTAAAATTATTATAGTGGACACTTCGTATGCCTTGAAGATTGCACATAAGCATGAAACAGACTGTCGCCACTGGGTTTCCACTTTTGTATTTACATACACACTATCCCTGATATTGAGCTCTTTTATCCATAAATATAGCATATATTAAAACTCTGTGTGTGTGTATGTGTGTGTGGGGAAATAGTGGATTACTGGATAAAGGCTCGGATTGAGTTCCAATTCCGGTAGAGTTACACGAAAATACCTCTGCCTCACTAACTACGGATCCTATAGCCTTGGATAGTAACCAGTCTAGGAGAAGAACAACTCTGAAATCGAAACCTTCAACAATGGGTTAAATAGCCTCACCAACCCGCAGTTGGCCAAGCCTGGTGTGTATGGCTGAACTCCTGAAGACATAATCAACCAGGGAGGAATTCCTCCAACAGGTATGAGAAAGCCCTGAATTTGTATATACAGGGTGTATCAAAAATACTTTTACAAACTTTGGGGCAGGTTCCTCACACCAAAAACAAGGGCAAATGTCCATATAAACATATGTCCGCAAATCCTTCATTTTTTTAGTTAAGTTTAAAGAAAGTTTCCGGTAGATGGCGCTGTATTGCCATAAGGACGAGGTTATATTTGTCATTCGTGGACATCTGTAGCTAATCTGTCTTCAACGTTTAACATGTGTAATAGTGAATTAACCGAGAAGTGTTCCTTATAACAATGGCAGGATATTCATATCGTGAGCAGACAGATATGATTTTTACATCTGGTTATATGAATGATAATGGATGCAAGGCTGCACGGCCGTATCAGATTGCATTTCCAGACAGAAGGCAGTCGAGTCCTCCAATCTTTACTGCTGTTTATCGTCACGCTGCTGAGACAGGATCCATGGCACCACAAACTATGGATAGCGGAAAACCGAGATCCATCTGACCACGAAGAATACATTCTACAGGCTGTCGAAGACGATCCAGGTATCAGCACATGTCAAGTGGCCCTAGCATGTCGGGCATCTCATAGTACCACATAGAGGTACTTTTTTTTTTTTTAAGCATTACGCCCCGAGCAAGGCGTGAAGCCACTAGGATGCAGGGGGTTGCAGAAGATTTGGAGCAAGAACAGATAGGAGTGATAGAAGAAAGGATGAGGAGAGGGATAGTGGGTAGATCAAGGTAACTGGAGATGTCGATTGACATTACATTTGAATAGTTGGAGATTATAGCTCTCAGGGAAACAGTAATTGGGAAGGGTGTTCCACAGGCGAGAGGTGCGAGGTATGAAGCTATTGGAGTAGAAGACACGGTTACATTTAAAAGTTTCTACAATGTAAGGGTGGGAGCGGGATGCCAGCCTCGTAGGGCGCTTGAATTCATGGAGTCTGGGAACCAGTGAAAGCAGCTCCTCGGAGCAATTACCATGAAAGTATTTGTAGAAAAGACAGAGAGAGGCGACAGTATGTCTGTGAGAGAGCAACTGTAGACGAGATGCCAGATCAGGGCCAATTATATTACATATCTACCTCTGGATCTTGTCAAGAACTCCGAGATAAACAGAAGGTGCCCCAGACCATATATGGCAGCAATACTCCATGCAAGGGCGAATGGTTGATTTGTATATTTGAAGTATTGATTCCGCGGAGAAAAATTTCCTGGCGCGGCACAGAGAGCCAACTTTCCTCGCGGTGGAAGAAGCAATTGACACAATGTATTTGTTCCATCTCAGGTCAGCAGTCAACGTGAGACCGAGCAAAAACAGCAGCTCTTGCATCCGTATCATTTGCAACGCCTGCGGGGTGTTATCCCTTTCTTAGCTAAAACATTTAAAGATAAATCACTAAACAACACATGTTCAGGCGTCATGGGAATAACAAGTCCTAGTGGCTTCTCGCCTTGCTTGGAGTGAAACGCTTAAAAAAAAAAAAAAAAAAAAAAAAAAAAAACAAGTGATGTTGTTGACAGCCACATCTCAATTGTATTAAAAATCAAATTTGGAGTGGAAGGCAAATCATGTGAAATTGCATATAACCAATAAATAAAAATGAACCTTTTAGTGTACTATACATAGAAAAACAATTTATATAAAACAAATAATAATCAAGAAATGTACACGTGTAGTTGATATATAAAATGTCCGGAATGCAATGGACATTTGTGATGTTTTCTTAGGACGATGAAATGTGTTCTGGTTGTAGGAGCTTTATTTTGGGAGACGTTAACACATGCGTCTATCTACAACGATGAACTGACGAGAAAAATAGCCGATCCTCATGACCAATGTCCGGAGAGAGAATAAAAAGAGAGAGAGAAAGGGGTTCCTTTTATACGCTCTCGCGAGTGATTCTGATTGGCTCCGAGGGAGCCTGCGTATTATTGTCTATTTTCGGTCACGGAAATCAGTGTAACATGCTGATATTTTAATTTTCACACATACATATACACATATAAGATATTGAACAATCAGGGCTGGTAGCAATAAAAGTGCTCAATGTAAAATAACAGAGCTAAAATTTATATTATTAATAACTGTACATTTTTTCCCATCGCCGATTGGCATAACATGAGTTTCCTGCAGATTAATGCATTCATGAAATTTAGTGTTGTACCAAATGGTGAACAGGCTCAACGATGCTTAACTTCGGTGATCAGAGAAGAACGTGATATATATATATATAAATATATATATATATATATATAGATAGATAGATAGATAGATACATATATAAACATATATATATATATATATATATATACACATCAGGACATATTCATAAAACATTGAATATAGTCTAATATTAATTGTTTTATGAATATGTCCTGAATATGGTCTACTAGACTGAAACGTCCGACATTGACATTATATTAACATTAAAACAGCATATTAGGATTTTTGTTTGTTTTTCCATATATTTTTCTTCATATATACATATATATATATACTTATACAAATATATATCTATACATACATATATATATACATATATATATACATATATATATGTAAAACACACATATATATACATCTACATATATATATATGCATATATATATATATATATGTATATATATATATATATGCATACATATATACATATACATATATATATATATGAATACATATATATACATATATACATATATATATATACATATATATATATATATACACATATACATATACATATATGCATATATATATACACATATATATATATGCATACATATATATATATATACACACATACATATACATATATGCATACATATATATATATATATATATATATATATATATATATATATATATATATATATATATACACACATATATATATATATATATATGCATATATATACATATATATATATACACACACATATACATATATATATACATATATGACTAATACAATTATAAAATTCATCACTCAACTGATATAAATAAATATAAATTTTATCACTTAAATTGATGTTATATTCAGCATCGCAACTCCAGAGTTTCGTAAATGAATCTTTGTGTAATTGTTCGGTCCATTTGTCAGAAAGTATCAGAAATTTTCTGCCAATTTTTTTCATTTTCAATATTTTTATATGAAGTTAAAAAAAATAATTCTTGTGGTTTTTATTAGTGTTAGGTTGATGTTTTCTTTTTTCTTTGTGTATGTGATGATCCAAACAAAAATGTGTGGGATCATAAAAAAGTGTTCGTCTGAACCCAACAAGTTCAATTATTTCGGCTAGACTGAGGGGTGCGATTCTTCCCCGATTTAATCTGGGAGAATATGCCCACTCGAAATGTGTTAAAAACCAAAATAAGAATGCAATAAAATAATATTAATTGTATTTAATTTACTGGGAAAAATATGTCTATTCTTCGCAAAAAGAAGAGAACAAAGTTTGAAATTCCAACCCATAAAAAACTAAAAGCCTATGATCAATGGTGAAAGTGAATCTAGGATTTGAGTTGATAGAATATTAAAATTGAAGTGTTTTTTTTTTTTGTTTTATTTTAAATTTATTTGTCATACACAGGTTTCTTAAGTGTGGAGAATGCTTTAATAATAAGTCGAGATATTCCAGCTACAAATGGTGTTATTCACGAAATCCACAAAGTCCTGGACATTGAACATCTGAGAAACAACATTATCGGTTAGCACTGAAACCGTTACTGCATTGCACAACTTTTTGCTGAATGCGTCAGCCATCTTTAAATATAACTGCAGACTTGAAAAGCAACAGATGAAAAAAAAAAATTTGAACGAATATGATGAAAATAAATTAATGAAAAAGAAGAAAATAAATATTTTATATAGTTTTTTTATTTTTTATTCATAATTATATCTGAGTAATCATTTAATCATGGATTGATTTAAACTTTTCCTTTGTCCATATAAACTTTATGAAAAGAAAATTCAGGTTTTCCAATTTCTATCTTATTTTATGCAATTTTTATGCCACATTTACAGGCTAATTCAAACTTATTTTATTTATGAGACAGATATCGCATTTTCTGTTGAGGCACATAAGGTTTAAAATGATTTTTTAAAAATGAAAAAAAAATCATTCTTGAAGTTTTTTATTTTAGTTTTAATTTCAAGCTAATAGATTAAATTTAATATTTCCAATAAGCAAAAAAAAACAAAAAAACAAAAAAAAATACTTTGCTGTATTTCAAAAACTAATTTAAATTGCCTGGAAGAAGTTTTTGTTTTGAAGTCGCTTAAAATCACAGATTTTAGAGCCATTGTTAGCCATCTATCATCACGATGTGATTCTCTTTATTAAAAAAAAAGACAGCAGTTGTTTAAGGTGTTAACAGCTTGACTGACAGACAGAATTTTAACTTTTTTTTTTCTACACTGGATATATCTATAAAAATTACTTGAATATAACATGAGTGCCTTTTTGATGTTTTAAGTTCCCACAGTGGAGTAATGGATAGTGGCTTGGATTGAGGAATCGGAGAGCCAAGTTCAAATTCCATTCGAATCCATTACATTCACTTACGTGCTAATACCCTTGGGAAAGGTGTGAATCCATCTCTTCTTTCTTATGATTATGTGTGCTTATTAGAAGGCATGGAAGATTAATGGATTGTGGCTCGGATTGAGGAATTGATGAACCGAGTTCAAATTCCTGTCGAATCCATTACATTCACTTACATGCTAATACCCTTGGGAAAGGTATGAATCCTCTTCTTCTGACCCCAGCTATGGGTAAATAGCAGGACAGACTGGGTTCTGTAGCCTTAGATGGCAAATGATCTCCCACAGAAAGAAATGGCAACCTACTGCGGAAAAAAATCTGCCTCATCAGTCATGTATCAAAAGATACATGATCGCCTACATGTGTATCATGCATGGCATATAACTGACTGAATCTTTAAAATTTAGGAAAACATTTTCTATAATCTAATGTTTTATTGAGTTTTAGATACCTCGGCTTTAAATTTACCATAGTTGTCGTTCTTATTGTATAATGTGTTTAAAACTTTATCAACTATTAAAATTTTTAAAAAAAATGAAAATTCTTGTAAAAGTTCATTATTTCTCATTATGAGATAGAAGCACCAATGCAGACATTTATTGCCAGAAATTTGATTTGGCAAACAGAAAAAGTGTTTCTTTTTCTCCTGCATAACAATGCAAGAGCACACTCCATAAAACAAACCCCCCCACAAAAATAGAAGATCATTTTACGAGAGTTAGGTTGGTTAATTTAGTGATATATCAAGTATTGTTGGGTTAATTAATGTCGAAAAGAAGTCTTATTTGACAAAAATCACAATGAAGTGGAACATAGGTGGATATTGATCTGATTTACTTCTTTTTCTATGTGCCATGTTGCTCTAGGTTGTGAGTGATTACAGCTCTCCACAACCTTCTTCATAGTCATTAGCAGTATTTCTCCCTTTGCCAAACCTCCTGCCCCTTGTTCTACCATCCATTCACAGAAACTAAACAGGTAGGTGGCTTGTTGTTTCTCTCTTATCCTTGATATCCCCTGTGAGTGTTAAGTTTTGGAAGCTGTCCTTCCTCATTATGTGTCTAAGAAATTTCAGCTTTTTGCTACTATTTTCTTTAAGACTTCTTCATTGCTTACTCGCTCTGTTCATGGAATTCTCAGTATCCTTCTGTAGAAACACATTTCTGTTACCCCCAGTTTCTTCATGTGTGGTGAGATTGTCCAACATTCACTGCCATACAAGAGGATTGATATCCCATAGCAATTCAGCACTTTTTGCTTTGTGTCTAATGAAATTTTCCTGTTTCATAATACTTTGCTTAGCTTTTGGAATGCATATTTTGCTAATGAGCCATGCCTAATTTGTGGCTCAGTAGTACATTATAGAGTTATTAATACATGACCTGTGTTGGTCTGAGAAAATGGAAAATTTGGCAATATTCTGGAACTAAGGGTGCTACAAAACTGGTAATGTACCTGTATATGGTAAGTGGCTTTATAGCAGACAAGACTAACTTTTTATCAAATTAGTTTTCTTGACAGAAAGAAAAAAAGCTATTAAATACAATTCTATTATATAAAAATTGCATTCCTAAGTAATGAGTTCATTGCAAACAAGACTGTTCTTGTTTATACTTTGTAAACCAACAAGATGTTAGAGGGGAACAAAATTCCCATGTGTAATAAAATCATTGATTAATATCTACACAAGTCTGGTTCTTCACCCTTCATTGGAATTGGCAAATATTTGTTTTATTCTTTTTTCTTAAGGTGATACTTAACATAAAATCATGACATCAGCAGATTATGTTGGTTAATTTAATGACATATCAAGCCCTGTCGGGTTAGTTAATGTCGAACAGAAATCTTATCAGACAAAAATCACAATGAATTTTATAGGTAGACATTTATATTTATGAGAAACAACCAAGATGCTTAAAGGATTTCACGATGGTTGGGTTGGTTAATTTAACGACATATTAAGTATTGATTCTTATTTCTATAAATGTTATTTTTAGTGGTACACATGTTGGATTTGTTATCCCTGTTTTCATTTGTTTTATTTTATTAAATAGTGAAATTAACAACACCTGACTTAAACTAAAGTTATGCTAAAGAAAAATTGTGTTTCAGGCAGGATTTGAATTTAGATCCCTTTTTTCCATCAAAGAAACCACTTTAGCCAAAGAATGCCTCTACCAGTTCAGGCTGAAAGTATAGGTGCTCCCAGTGAGGTCTGAACTCATTACTCGGTTGTAATTGTTCTAGTGAGACAAACTTGCTAACCATTATGCCACATTGAGGTGCCCAATATAAAATGTATATGTCTGTCCAGAGAAAATATTATAGTTTGATATATATAAAAAAAAAAAAAAAAAAAAAACAAAACACAATCTAGAAAGGGAGCAAAACATTAACCCTATCACTAGAATTGGGATGTGAAAAATTAAAATAACATTAAATTAATGATGTAATAATAATAAAGTGTGTGTGTGTGTGTGTATATATATATATATATATATATATATATATATATATATATACACACACACACACACAACATTGAAGTCCACACTCACAGGTGACAGGCTGTTTCATGCTAGATGCAATCGTCAGCTGTGAGAGCATGAAGCAGCCTGTCACCTCTGAGTATTGACTTCAATGTTCACTTTTATATTTACATATGCTCTATCTCTGATATTGAGCACATTGTTCCATAAATATAGCATACCTTAGAACTATATTTCTTCATATATATATTTTTATTCCTACCCCTCCCCTTAGTTTCTTATGAAATTGAACAAGTTACATTTGTTTCATAATTATGATACATGGTTTTCACCCGCTCATAGTTCATATTAATTTCTTGTCTGACACTCATGACCTTGTGTAGGATGATATTTCAAATGATATTTCAAATCACATTTTACCATGATTAAAATTCCCTAGTTTTTTTTTTTTTAGGTTATTTTTTTAATTTAGCGTAGGTCTGACACCTAATTGGTTAATCAGGCTAAACTCACAAGCCTCATTTTAATTTTGTTATCTGCTTTTGAAATTTAAAAATAATTTTTTTTATTCACCAGTTATTTTACCACTGCCTGAGGAGGCACAACTTTAATCTCATATAATGAGTAATATATATTAGTTTGCCCACATGCCATCTGTTTGCTTCTGAGTTTGCCCATGTGCAAGGGTAGTTAGCTAATCCTGGCTACAAATGCCTGCTCAAGCACATTAGTGATTGTTCAACAGCCACAGTGCCAAACTGTGGCAAATATTGTTACTATGCAGAACAGTACACTCAAGCCCTCAGTCATGATGACTTGTGACTTCATGCTGCCACAACTATCAACCCATTTTCACTAACAAGTCTTGGCTCAACCTGTGGTATGACTTTGGTGCTTCCTAAGGGTGATACAAGCTGAGATTATCTCCCCTGAACAATATTATTAGGTAAGTTGTCATCTCAACAAATTGACGATGGTGAGATTTCAGTCTGCGTCTCATTGTAACGTTAGCATTCTAATCGTGCATGCATTTGTATGTTATCAGCATATATATCAATAAATTTGAAAATTAATCATCTTTTCATTTCATTTTTATTTTGGAAAGAAAAAAAAAAAAATAAGAGCAAAAAATGTCCTTCCACATTTACAAAGAGATAGAAAAAAAAAATACATGATAGAAAAGGAAAAATTTTGAGAAGAAAAACAATGTACAAATTCCTCTTTGATATTTTGTGTCTGGTTTTAATCATCATCAGTGTGTTGAAAAAGGCAATAAAAAAAAAAAAAAAAAAAAAAAAAAAAAAAAAATCCATTGTTTGCCAACAACACAGCTAAGTAAAGAAAGGGGAGGATAAAATGGACATTGTCCTTCTGTACAATTTTAAACAATTGAGAGCAGGATATTCATATTGGCGGCGATATTTAAGAAAAAGAATAAAAAGTAAAGAAAAGGCAGCACAATTGTAGGGACACTTAATTCAATCACACACTGCTTCAAGGTGGGTGCATATTTAAAATTGTCCACCTATTTTTTTTTTTTTTTTTTTTTTTTCAACTAACCCCACCACCCTTGATAATCCCTTATCACCTGACAAATTTGAGGCCAAAATGACCCAAGAGTTCAACAATCACAAATCATTTACTCAACTCAGACATACAGCAGAGTTTCAGCAACACCT